CACGCATCCAAGCCATGGAACGCGGCGGCCGCGGTGCCCACGATGTACGCGTCGTCCAGGAAGGCTAAGCAGTCCCCTCCCATGTCCACCGCGCGCACAGCCATGCGGCCGATGCTGAGGGTATCCGCGGTACCGGCCGCGTAGAAGCCTGGGCTCATCGGGCAGCCCTGGTCGAGGCCACGGACCTGGTCGACCAGCTGGGCGGGTTGCGACCCGCCCCCCGCCACGCGGCGTGTTCGGGCGGGGGGCCAGGCTTCCGCCAACGGGGCCAGCGCAGGCACCTTGCTGCGCACGGCCTCCTTCACCAGGTCGCGGGGGATGTTGCTGAACGCATCCCCGAGGTCCACCGCCACCACCCACTTGCCTGGGCTCGAGTTGGCCATCGTGCATAGGCGTCGGTGGAGCGCACCACATCCGTCCTTGGCAGGGCCGAACTGCTGGTCTGCCACCGCCGTCCGCATGTCCTTGTGATGGACTTTGGCGGCACTGCAGCCCACCGTGCGGCGGGTGACATTTCCGCAGCCCAGGACTCGCACATCCCCGGGGGGTTGCCTTGGGGATGCCTGCGAGGCGCGCCGCCGCCATGGCGGCTAGCGCCTCGGGGGGGAGGTCCCCGATGGCCAGTCGAGCCAGCGCGTTGGCCACCGCCTCTGCCCCATCCTCGTCGTGCTTGAGAGGGGCCCAGTGCTCGTAGCGTCCTCCTCCAGGCCCCGCCCCTCCACGGCGGGGGAAACGGCCAAACTGACGTTTGAGGTGGTTGGCCACGCGGCGGTGGAGTTCCGCTGCGCCGTCGAGCTCGTGGGGAGCTGCGGCTGGCGGCATCGCCGCGTCGGCCCCCGCCCCACGCGGCCCCTTCTCCCTGGCCCACGCGGGGCGGCCCCAGTGCCAGGGAGAGGGCACCACTCGCCTGGGCGAGGCGCCTCGGGCTGCTGGGCGGTGCTGAACTTCCTCACCACCGGCGCTGCGTCCGCCATGCCCCCCCGGGGCCAAACTGCCGCCGCCGCCCGAGACATCTCTCCCGCTCGTGCGAGCTCGATGACACGGCGTACACGGGCTGCGACGTGATCCTCGCGGCCCTTCGTGGTGACCGTGGTGCGCGTCTGGTCCTCCATGGAAAGCCAGGCGACATCCAACTGGCCGTCCTGGATGCACCGCAGGCGCTCCTGGAGGCGCTCCCGTCGCGTCGTCGGGGTCGGGGTCGCATTTTCGCTGAACAGCAGTCCACCCAGCGAGAGGAACACCTTCCACAGCCTCGTCAATGTGCTCGACGACTGAGCGTCGTTGCCCTGGCGGGCTTGCTCAATTGCCAAGCACAACCGCACCTTCACGTGGCTGACGGCTGCCGCCATGCTGTCGGGGATCATGGCTGTGGTGGGCGCCCCTGGGAGCAGGATGCGGCCCCACCCGATGGCATCCCACCAATCCAGGCTGACGAAGCCCAACTCGTGGTACGCGTCTTCGCTCGTCACCTGGTCGTCCAGGTAGTCGTCGTCCAGGTAGTCGCGTCCTACTACTACTACTACTACTACTACTACTACTACTACTACTACTACTACTACTACTACTACTACTACTACTACTACTACTACTACTACGACTACCACGACTACGGCTACGAAAACGACTACGACTACAACTACGAGGACTACTACTACTACTACTACTGCTACTACTACTACTACTACTACTACTACTACTACGACTACGACTACGACTACTACTACTACTACTACTACTACTACTACTACTACTACTACGACTACTACTACTACTACTACTACTACTACTACTACTACTACTACTACTACTACTACTACTACTACTACTATTACTACTACTACTACTACTACTACTACTACTCATACTACTGCCACTACTACTACGACTGTTACGACTACTACTAAGCCTACGATCGCCATTGCTACTGCTGCTGGTGCGGCTCCTACTACTACTACTACTACTACTACTACTACTACTACTACTACTACTACTGCGACTACCACGACTACGGCTACGGAAACGACTACGACTACAACTACGACTACAACTACTACTACTACTACTACTACTACTACTACTACTACTACTACTACTACCACTACTACTACTACTACTACTACTACGACTACGACTACTACTACTACAACTACTACTACTACTACGACTACGACTACTACTACTACTACTACTACTACTACTACTACTACTACTACTACTACTACTACTACTACTACTATACTATATACTAATACTCCTTTACGACTTGCCATTTACTACTTCGACTGTACGGACTACTTACTAGCTACCCGATCATCATTCTACTGCTTCTGGTGCGGGGGGGGTGGGGGGGGGGGGTGGTGGGACTCCTACCTGCTCCCTACTACTCCGACGACTACTTCTACCACCACCACTCCTACAACTACTACTACTCCTGTTACTACTGCTCCTGAAACTGCTCCTGCTACTCCTACTACTACTAACTACTACTACTACTACTACT